CTCCCTGCTTACGTGCCTGCTTCATCTTTAGGTTATGGCAGCTTCAGCCTAGTCTCACAGTTGCTAGTTAAAAAGATGAGACCTTCATGTTTTTGTTTACTGTTAAAGAGTACATCTAATTGTAGGACTTTATATAACAAAAGATAAGGTAATGACCTGGACTATGTCTTTATGTTGCTATGGTGAGGTGATTTGTAATGTGGCTGGAAGTTACAGAGAGCGAAAGTGTTAAAGCAAGAGAAAGATTAAAAAGGGGGGAAAGGAAAAAAGGGGGGGGGACTTGCCTTTAACTTTTGCTTGTTTGAGATACCTTTGCTTTTATATTATAATATATAATGACAACTACCAGAAAAATGGCAAGAGAGGGCAGGAGGGAATCACTAGAGCAGGCTGCAGAGAACAGTTACACTAGATTTGCTTCAGAAATTATTTGAACAGATGGGCAATAAAACAGAAGCTTTTGAAAAAAGAATGGATGAAAGACTTGCAAAGATGAAAGAGGAAATGACTGAAGTCAAAAAGTTGGAAAGTTTTATAAAGCAAGTATCTGGAGAAATAAAATAAATCAATGATAAAAGTGGACATTTTAGAGAGCAAGATGGAAGTTATAGATAGTTGGATAGAGAATTAGATGATTTGGCTTTATTGGAATTGAGGGAGTAAGAATTTTGTTTGAAATTTAGAACTATTTCAGAAGTTTCTGATTACGGTATCAGAGAAAGGATTATTAAAGTCTTGGCAAATGTTTTGGATTGGGAAGAGGAAATTGATAAAGTTTATAAAATAAATACTAGATGTGCCAGAACAAGAAATGTCCCAAGGGATATTTTGATGCAGTTTGTTAGGAAGAAGACAAGGGACTAAGTTCTGCAACAGCATTTTAATACAAGATTGAAAATGGATAATACAGATACCATTGTTTTGAAATAAATTCCTATTAGAATTTTATGTAAGAGAAAAGAATATGCCTTTTTGGCTGAAAAATTAAAACAGAAAAAGATCCCATTTTGATGGGATAAATTGGAAAGTGTGATTTTTACTTTTAAACAGCAGAGATTCAGATTGAGTTCTGTTCAGAAGGAACTGGAAGAGATGCAGGTGGAGATTTCAGAGGAACCTACAAAAAAATCACAACAGCTGAAACAGGAACTGGAAAAAGATGATATTGAATTAGGTGCTATAGGTATTGACTCTTCTACATTTTTGACTTGATTATGTATCACAAATGGTTAACATGACATATAATAGAGCAAACGCTCCTCAAAAGAGAAAAAAATCATTATTTTAAAAAATTAAAATGACATCATTTGCTTAAAAGAGACTCATATCAGAAAAAAAGATACAAAATATTTGACTTTTAAAACTTTGGTTGAATAATTTATTTGAGCAGATATTAAAAAGAGAAATGGAGTTGTCTTGTATACTATATGGTAGTCCTTTGTGTTGGAAGAAGACATGCTGTTCTGCACTTCATCTGTGGACATAGAGCTTTACAGTCCCAGTCTGGAAGAGCAGAGTCTAGCACAATGGGGGCACTGGAATTCCATTGTTGTTGTAACTGTGGGTGTTATTCTGTGACACCACTCACAGTTTTCTATCAGTTTTTGGCAGTGCCTTTCTTCAAAGCTGGTGGAGGATTCATAGCACAGGGCTCGCCAGCAGGTTCTGTCAGCAGCCGCAGTTTCTGGTTCCCTTGGCTGGATGTCACAGTGGCATAGGATTTCTTTCACAGCATCTTTGTGGTCGACTTCAAGGTCTCTTCCCAGTCTCCAGTATACCATACAGCAACTGGCAAGGCATACAGTGCTCATCCATTCTGATGATGTGTCCCACCCACCACATCTGGACTCTGATAGTCAGGGACTCAGTGCTGGGGGACTCAGCACGATCCAGGACCTCAAGGTTGGAAACATGGTCTTGCCAATGAATGCAGAGGATGGAGCAGAGAATGCG